TTTCACATTACATTGCATTTTCTGAAATGCTATGGAGGCATCAGACTGTTCAGACAGGAGCAAGAGTCTGCAGATGGCACAGGATATTGTAACTACATCGCGTATGATGTCAGCCAATCTTATGCTCGTACGTCTTCGAAAAAAGGTATTCTCATAATGCTTTCTCAACCGAAAGAGGCCTGTTACTTGAATTCGTGGAGTTGGTTGGTCTACGGTCTACAGCAGACTGATGTTGCATATACATTGTTTTTCGACTGGAGGTTTTCACTCGGAGTTTCTTTGGGTTGGCTGTCAAAAACCTAAATCTGTTTGGACGATCCTATGAGTAATCGTCCTGTTAGGTTCATCACGTTAGGCTTCTGCGTGAAGTTCAGTTCAGATTCCTGACTGTATGGTTAAATGCACTCACTCATCCTCATTAAATATCCAAATCGGCCTCCTTTTATGCAAAATATGTTTCAGCATGTTCTAGCAAAAAACGCGCGAGTGTAACACAACACATGAACCTTGATAATCTGTCATGGACAGTGGGTTTGAAAGCCAACTGTCATTGTGTCCCCGTAATTTGTGACTGTCTGATTTGTTTTGTCAAAACCAAGAGACACCATGTCATCAGTAACCATCAACCTTGGTCTTGGGCCGCTGGAGAAGTGTAACCGCAAGTTTCTGTGCGGGTACAACAATGCTGCGAACTTCAGCATCTAAACCTGATTGAAAGAAACCGTTAAACTGTGAAACGGAAACTAGGGGGAAATAGTTTGCCTTTATTTCATGTTACGCTTTGTTCGGACAGTTCACTGCGTTTATGACTTGTTTTCTACTTAGTTTGCCTTAAGTTCTTAATGAAACACCTCGCGCATAAGGCTTCTGAAGACTTTTCGGCAAGCCAACACGTTGTTTATACTACTCGTATGGTTGCTGAAAGGTCGTCGACACCTCGCGACCGGTTTCGCACTTCTTAAGGCTCATCAGTTATACGCAGTCCCCTGGAAACATCACAAACGAGAGATCCAGCTGTGTTCCGGGTGAGTCTCTCGAAAAACCAAATTAGTTGGTAAATGAGTGTATTTCGCTAATTTCGTGCAATTTGGTTTCGAGTGAAACATAAGGTTGACAGAAACTCGGTGACTGGGCCTACCTGATGAGCCACAAGCAGGACGAAGCCGGTCGTGGGATGTCGACGAATTTTTAGCAACCTTATGAGTAGTGCACTACAAATACTCATGCATCGTGATATCTCGAATATCGTAGAGACTGAAACATGAGGTGGCCTGGTGAAGCACATTCAGTTGCCTGGAAACATCACAAACAAGAGTTTCAGCTGGGCCCCAGGTGAGTCTCTCGCAAAACCAAATTGGTTTGCAAATGAGTGTATCTTCAGTTTGGCACATTTCCCCACTTTTCGGCAGTCTAAAGTTCTGCTTGGATACAAATTAGACGGAAGTCGCTAAATACTCTAATGGTACACTGATTTGGTTTTAATAGAGGACTCATGTATGTCTCATCAGAATTTGTCGTTGAAGATTTTTCTAATTAAATGTGCCGCAAAAACTTTGCCTAATGTTCCAGTCGGTGAGATTTTTGCACATACATCAGTATATGTTCAAGTCGTTCTGCCCCATTGCTGATGTCCCGACATTAGGAATTGGGAGGAAATTATATCAGATATTTCCGTACAGACTGAACATAGCTCATAAACGCAGAGAGATATCCGGGTGGCCTTAGTTGATTTGGACAGTAGCTGAAGAGCTCTCACACGCACTATTTGCATCGCCCTGTCAAAACAGTCAAACTACTGAATAAGACCTGGATTCGAACTTAGTTGTCTAAACAAAAATGAGTTGTTCCAGCGCATCATTTGATGGTTTCGATACTCAGCCCAACTGACTTTGGATTCGATTTCGTTTGAATTCCTGAATTCAATAAGAGGGTACACGTAACCGAAACCAGACGCGAGCTGTCGAAACTTGTTTTTTTCCATACTTTTCTTCCCAGTTCATTCAAGTTTTATCCTCACCCAGCTGCTTGTCGTGTGCTCGATTTTTCCGAAACGCTTCACAGGCACATTTGGCAGCTAACTTCACGCCGTTGGTACTGCCCAACGGTCGAAACCGCACATCTGATTATGTTCGGTGGAGATGAGGATGAATGAACTGGGCTTGCTAGAACAACAGCCAGTAATCACCTGTCGAACCCAACGTTATCCCTGCTGTGCTGATGGAGCATCGAATTATGACTGTGTTCGTACGACACGCGCGTGATAGTTTTTCTTACATGCTCTCTGTGCGTGCGCATGCACGCACACTCCCCCTAATCCGCGTGCAATTTTTATTTGTCCTATCGACCGGCATAAGCATCACAACCAAAATGACCTTCCGGAAAACTATTTGTGCTTCAGTGCACTGAGGCTAGACAAGCGAAACCCACCGCTAACCGTCAGCAACAAGTTTGCCCGTGGAACAAACACCTTGATAGTTCTAATGCTACTGTATGTAGTCTGTGTTGTGCTGCGCATACCGAGTTTGCTTACCGAATGTTGTTGTGGCATCAGTTCACCTGTCACGGGTGGTCATTGTTTCATGCACCCCATGTGGTTTCGCGGTTTCCAGCGCCAGTTCTGCGCAGGGCTAGCCTTGTCGACGCATGGCATATTGTCTCCTGCTGAGTTCGCACACACACTTTTGACAGCATGTTGTGTACACTGAACGTGAGGGGCTAGGCGTTGGTCACAGCGAGGAGCTTTCAGTTTGATCAGGAAGAAATTTCGCAGCAAACATGAGTCGTTTGCTTTTCGACTAGCTTGGACGGCTCACCTGTGCATATTTAGCTGTTTCTGCTTCTGTTGCGTGTTCACTCGTCCTCCTGTAAAACCAATAATTTCAGTGGAGGGCAACGTTACGAGCCCAACCTGGGCGTGTCGATTGTTTCAATCTAAACTTGGGCAGCCTGGTCATAGGCTTGTTCGCTGAGCTGGGCAATTTGATTGCAAACGCCTCATCAACAATCATCATCAGCGCGTTATTGGGGAGCGTAGTGGTGGGTTAGTGGTTGGACAGACTCACCTTATTGCAGCCCTCGTTCTACCTTCCGGTTGCATGGTAGCTGAGCGCCAAAAGGGTGGTCAAAACTGAAAGTGTATCTCTTATCCGTTTCCTATTATTACCGGGTTTGGAACTCTCAACAGGTAAGCTGGCCACATTCGAATTCGGAAGACTTTTCAGCATTGCGCTTAAGTTCTTCCTACGTCTAATGAACGCAAAGTTTAGTGGACTAAATGTCACACCTCTACTTTCCCTTATCATTCCCTGGTAACGAAATCTCAACTTTGACTACGCAGTGATCACACAGCTGTCTTTCACCACAAATCTCATCGGTAGTATCTTCCTCGTGTGATTGGATTTGGTAACTTTCACAGAACGACACCCTAAATTAACGCTGAGTTATCGAAACAAGGTCAAGTTCACTCATTTGCAAACTGATTTGGGTTTTCGAAAGACTCAACTCAGTTGAATCTCTCGTTTGTGATGTTCTCAGGTTCAAGTAGAACATAAGGTTGATAGAAACTCGAGGACTGCGCCTACTTGATGAGCCCTAAAAAGGGTGACTGTATATTCGCAACGTACTACTCATAAGGCTGCTGAAGATCAGTCGACAGCCCACGAAAGATTCAGCTGGGTTCCAGGTGAGTCTCTCGAAAGAACCAAATTAGTTTGCAAATGAGTTTATATTCACTAATTTCGTGCAATTTGGTTTCAAGTAAAACATAAGGTTGACGGAGACCCGGAGACTGGGCCTACCTGATGAGCCCGAATTGGAAGGGCTGCCGACGAATTTTCAGCAACATTATGAGTAGTACATTACAAAGGTCAAATTCACGTTACACGTTCGGATTTATTCGACTGTCGAGTATTGAGAAATGCTGTCAAAATATTCTCTCCGTTTTCACTCAAGTCCATTGGCGTTTGAGATAAAGTGGGTTGTTGACTCTGAGAACTTGACCACTCTGGCTAATCACCTGAAAGTTTCTCGTCGCTTCAATGCGCAACAGCTGATCCATCCCCGTAAGTAGCCTGTATGTTAGCAAAATACACTCAGTTGCAAACTAATTTGGTTGACGGAAACTCGGGGACTGCGGCTATCTGATGAGCCCCAAGATGAAGTAACCGGTCGTGGACTGTCGACGAATCTTCAGCAACCTTACGAGTAGTGCATTGCAAATATAGCCTGTATGCCCTATGATTTCCAGATTGGGGTGCCTGCACGGGTTTATGAGACCTGACCAACATTGGCTCCAGCTCACTGGTTCGCTGCGAGTTGACTGAATTTTCATCATGTCAGTGGGAAGTTGGTATCAATGAAAGCCGAATCGATTTCTCGGAGCACTATTCTACACATCAGGACGACTGTGTGAATAATGCTCACAAAGCTGGGATGAACCATGATGCTTGTGGATATGAGTGATTTGAATTTACCGAATTTGCCAAACTTTGAACTTCAAATGACGGTATCATTCGAGCAATAGCTGACCATCGATCCCGCACCAGTCAGCCTTCAGTGTTTAAAAGCTTTTTTTTACAAAAAACCCCATCATTCACACCAAATGATGTGCCCCTTCTTTTTGTTTTTTTTTCCTGCGTCTCAGAGAACCATCCAAAAGAACGCACAATATGTCTGTTTGCAATCGAAAAACTGTGTGGTTGATAAACGCCGTCGAAATCGATGCCAATATTGTCGATTTCAAAAGTGTCTCAAAGTGGGCATGGTCAAAGAAGGTAAGTCAGCTTATATGTTCCATTTCTGAAGCCTTCCTGTTCTATGCCACACGACAGGATTATGTCGTAGAAAACGGTACTGTCTCAACATAAACCGGCACAAACGCTAACAAGGCCATTGGCCCAATTCGTTACGGAGAAACGATTTATGTACACATAGTTCAGTTCGTCCAGCACTATAATTTTCTGCCAATACATGACCAAGATTGAACACTACTCAGCACTGAAAGAAAAATAGACCAAACGATTTGCGAAAATCTTTCCGGAGTCACTAGAAAAGATCAAATATAGCCTGCATATTGGAGTTGGATTTTTGTCCGGTAATTCTCCCACTCTTCAGGAATGAGAACCTCTAGCAGAAGGTCTTGTTTATGGAGGAGACTATTCACAAGGTTGTTGAAAACTCTTTGACTGTCCACGACCGGTTTTGCCCTTCTTGGGGATCATCAGGTAGGCGCAGCGCAGTCCCCGAGTTTCCGTCAACCTTATATTCTACTTGAACCCAAATTGGACTGATTGCGACAAATAAACTCTTTTGCAAATTAATCTTTTCTAGTCTCCTGAGACAGGCTATCCGAAGAACATCGGCTATTTTACGTCCAGCAACGAAACCGCGCCCCACCAAACCCATAAAGCGACATAAAATTTCACAAAGGTGTCAACCTTGTCAACAGGTTTTACAGAGGACTATGAGAAACTGTGTCCTAGTATCCCGCCCCGAGAATCCTGATTCTCAGTCGATACACAAATATACACACAATGAATTAAACCTCTCCTTCTGCATAAACCCAGATCGTCCTAACTTGTCCCCTGAATCATACTTTACCGCCCACACCACCCCCAATTGTCGCTGGAGCATAAATAATCCGATGCTTGCTCCCGTTTTCAAATAGCAAGACGTGAACCCGAGAAAACGAACTGATTAAAAATCATACTCTAGCCCTCCTCAAGGTTTATAAATGAAATGCCCGCCTATTTTTACCTCGTTTTAATCAAGAACTCTTCCAAATCAATTGGTTACTGACAATATGTCCACGAGTTCTGACGCATTTTTGGAATGGGTCTGAACAGACGGCCAGAAGAAGCACTCACTCAGGAAGTGTAATAATATTTATTGAACTCCCGGCAGGCAACTAATATCTTTGACCTTCTTTAGCCATTCACTGAAAAACCAAAAGTGTAGTGTGAATGCAACTCCTACCTGTGGGTGGTACAGGTGAGTTCTTCAACCCCCACATTTGGTATAGAGGAAGTATGGCACACAACTGAGCGCTGTCCGAAAGTAGGCAAGATCAGATATCTGCTCGGGACAAATATCTGATGAACTGAACGAATGGATTTCGGAACGTAAATCTGGAATTACAGGAAAACTTTGTTATACAAAAGAGTGGATCTTGTCGCATCGCCCAAACTCTAGTCAGAAGCGAATTGTCCAGATTACGGGGCACGCGCAGTATACGGAAGTGATGAATAGCCTTGTGCATTCCTAGAGGAGATTTTAGTAGAACAGAGTGGATGGAGAGTTGGTTTAGTAGACATGCAGTCCAACAGAATCTACTTCAACGAAAGGCTTTACAAGATACCGAACCACTAGGGAGATCACAGACTTCCGGTACGTCCTAGGTCACGTGGATCTACACGTGGACCGCATGCAGGAGATCGATTTGGAGAGGTTGCTGAAAAGTTAATAATACGCTTGTTTAAGGTTAGTACAAGCACCAGAATGATTTCTTTTCATAATACCAAACACGATGTGTCTCGGTAATCTGTTTACAACGTACAAGGCTTTCTGAGGAAGGCCGGGGAATGCGACAGAGGAAAACAGAGAAAACATGATCAATATTCAAGGGAATGAGAAGGGCCCTCAATCAGAGCGCACAAAAAGAAATTCGCAAGTCTGAACGTGAGATGCCTAACTGAGGCTATTGGCTGGGGTAATTTCGAGTTATTTCACATCAATAAAACCTTGGAGACAAATGTTATTGACTATAAACGATGAGAAGCTACCACGAAGATCTTGAATCTGATCTGTATTGTGTGGGAAAGTATCTTAGCACTAGCAAAAAACAACAGGTGAACCCTAAACACGTTCAATCTGTAATTTTCTGTGATCTTCCCGAACGGGATTGTCACAGCCGATACCGTCAGCAACACCGTTTATAGACAACACCGAGGAAAGGATAGCGTATATCTGTTTATTCGAAGAAAGGGACATGTGTCTTTAGCTAGCTGGCTGAAATTTACTCCCCTAGGGGTACTTCTTCGAGTAAAGTGAGGTACAGTCGCGTTTATAATTAGTGAGGTGCTATCAGTCCTGTGTAGTTATAACTGTGTAGATCACCGCGTTAGTCATTGGGATTCCGGTTTTGGACGCCACCTCAGCAAGAAGGGAGATGGGGCACCAGTTTGTACGTAGACCGTTTTCAACGGTGTAACAGTGTCGATACTCATTCGGTGCATTGCTTCCGTCCACTGTTTAAAATCTGGTTAGCCATCACAAGTTTGTTGCCACGACAAAACCAACTTTGCCGGTCTTATTGTCTGGGACAAATTGGTCAGCATAACAGTCTGCAAAGTTCAGAATTGCTGTCGACCGCAGATCTGGATGCAATCCGACACAAGCTTATAGCTGTTTCAAACCTTATTAGATATCCTAGTTTTTCATTCCTGGGTCATTCAGAGGGGCTCCGAAATCCTGTCACGAACTTTCGGAGGACTGAAGTCAGCCCAAGAAGATATCATAGTTTTTTGGGCAAGCAAAGTTCCCACCAATTCTCTAGTTTTGGGTCCACCTCATGTAGCCTCCACAAAATGCTTAGATCTTCCTTTTTGTTCCTGCCTAACACATTGTTCAAGTAGACCAAACAATATTTTAGAACGAAACCTCACAAGCCTATCTGAAATAGGCTGGATGGAACGCTAGTCAGGCCAGAAGACATCATCTGAAATCCGCGGGATAACCCGAATATGGTCTCTCATCTCTCTATTTCTTCTATCTACCCCGAGGCCATGCTCAACGTACTGAACGTAGGTGGGAAAAGAAAATTCTCTCTTCGTTACATGGTGTAACCAGCGTGAAATCATATTTTACCCTGTATGGGTGTGACGTACTACTCATTCGGTCGCTGAAAAACTCTTGACAGCCCACGATTGGGTTTCGCCCTTTTTGGGGCTCATCAGGAAGGCTCATTTCCCGCGTTTCCTTTAAACTTATGTTCCACTTGAACCCTAATCGCTCGAAGAAGAACGTCACATGCAAGAGATTCAGCTAGATTCAAGATGAGTTGCCCGTAGAAATCAAAGTGATATGGGGATAACTTTACTGGAATTCTTCTTGGACAGCACCACAGGCGCTGACCACTGGGATTCGGGGTGTCGAATCACCTTGTTCTGCAACATTTCCGCGATCATATCCTTTACTACCTGCCGACAGTATAGTGGGAGGTGACGTGGCTGGGTACGAGTGTGGGTCGCCTCCCTGGTATTGATTAATTGGCCACTGAGCGATTTTGCGCACGTGCATGAGGGTTAATAACTTGAAATCAGAATGAAACATTTATCAACTCTGGAGTTTTTGCAGGTTATCGAGGGTCTGGCACACCCTCAAGTCCTCCTCGAGCGTCTTTGGCGGACGAATTACGAGTTCTTTTTACAGCCACAGTTTCGCAGGATATTTTCTCATCTTTGCAACGGAATTGAGCTCATAGTTTTGTATGTGGACAGGAGGTTGAGTAGCAGTTTAGGCCAAGTACCGTTTTCCGTGACCAGGGCCCAACTCTGTCACAGACAACTGGGGAGACAGAACACATGACCAAATGAAATAAGTAGGTTTTCGGGTCAGGTTTGCAAATGTGTTTGGATTGATTACGAATTGATACTGACAACACGGATACTGTATGATCGTGACTCATTCTTATCCGTAATACCCGAACACGTCAGGTGTCCAGCACTAGTGACCTGACGAGTCAGTATGGTTGCTAGACGCGTCCTGAGGCTTGTTGACGCGGATGTGGCAGGTGAGTAAATAGACATTAGGAGCTTGTGGTGAATCACACTAAACCACCAACTTTTCAATACTATTGCGTTTCTATCAACAAGTCAAACCAACGAACTGTGAGCCACACTCGAATGGTAAGAGCGCAAATTTGATGACCGGAAGGTCCGTGGTTCGAACCCGACCTCTGCCTCTCGACTTTCCCTGTCTAGGCTTGGGCAACCTGGCCGTATCCCAGCCCTCGTGCTCGCACGTGCATGAGGGTTAATAACTTGAAATCAGAATGAAACATTTATCAACTCTGGAGTTTTTGCAGGTTATCGAGGGTCTGGCACACCCTCAAGTCCTCCTCGAGCGTCTTTGGCGGACGAATTACGAGTTCTTTTTACAGCCACAGTTTCGCAGGATATTTTCTCATCTTTGCAACGGAATTGAGCTCATAGTTTTGTATGTGGACAGGAGGTTGAGTAGCAGTTTAGGCCAAGTACCGTTTTCCGTGACCAGGGCCCAACTCTGTCACACACAACTGGGGAGACAGAACACATGACCAAATGAAATAAGTAGGTTTTCGGGTCAGGTTTGCAAATGTGTTTGGATTGATTACGAATTGATACTGACAACACGGATACTGTATGATCGTGACTCATTCTTATCCGTAATACCCGAACACGTCAGGTGTCCAGCACTAGTGACCTGACGAGTCAGTATGGTTGCTAGACGCGTCCTGAGGCTTGTTGACGCGGATGTGGCAGGTGAGTAAATAGACATTAGGAGCTTGTGGTGAATCACACTAAACCACCAACTTTTCAATACTATTGCGTTTCTATCAACAAGTCAAACCAACGAACTGTGAGCCACACTCGAATGGTAAGAGCGCAAATTTGATGACCGGAAGGTCCGTGGTTCGAAACCGACCTCTGTTTGTCGACTGTCTAGGCTTGGGCAGCCTGGCGGTATCCCAATCCTCGTGCTTCCTTCGGGTAGCATGGCAGTTAGGCACCGAAAGGGTGTTACAGCTGAACGATTTCATTTTGCTTTCTTAAGCAAAACTCAAATAAGATGTACAATCAAGACCTATTTTGTCTTCTCTCCCGCTACGGTTTTTCCTGTCACTCTGCACCAAGCACAGAGGAACTAGATCCGAGATCTACTGCTACTCTGAACATGTTAACTTGTGATTGGATCCAGTCCGAAACGACTTACAAACTCAGGTTGGTGTACAAAACAGTCAGCACCATACTCGTTTGGATTAAGTTTGGGAAATAGACTCCTGGATAGTTCTTTCCTCAAATGACTTTATGCAAGCGATTGATTCAAAGCATCTTTAATGCAGTCCTGCCGAAAACGTGTCTCACTAGAGTTTGAAAAGTAGTGGTTCTCAGATTTTCCGTTTCATCGAACAATTGTGACGTCTTCTTGTCTCGTGTACATTAGTAACTTGGCAATATGTTATGAACAACTTCAAGGGGTGTACATGCAGACTTCTCTGTGGAGGATCCTCTCGAAGAGAGGCCAGTCTCAAATGCTGTTACTTTTTGTCATTAGATAATCGCGGTTGATCACTGGTGGACTCGGCCAGCCTGATGAATAGAGATCAGACTGATGGTCACGAACAAACACGCGACCACACCGAAACCAGAGATGAATCCCGCCGATTACTTTCGGGAGTTCCTGTGATAAGAGAAATTAACAGAGAGAGAGAGAGAGACTTGCCTTACTCTATGGATTATAAAACGCATGCATAATTTTTGTGGGAGCCTTTTTCTGTATCGATTTTAGTTCGAGGCTGTCTCATCAGCGTATCACAGTCCATCCTAATGAGATTGGTACGAATCGTATAGAAATAAGCATTCCCAGATGTGAACAAGCAAGCCTTGCATTCAAGTTTGTTAGTGCTATTGTCTTTTACTTGAAGTAATATCAGAAGGTGAATAACACGAACAATAAACAGTTATGTATAGTGGTTACCAGAGACACTAGTACAACTGAATAATACACAAAAGGAAATAAGAGACTTATTGGGTTCTTCGTTTTCAGCCGAGGTTTGTAGGACGCAGTGGAATTGAATGCGGGTCTTGACGGAGTGTGCTGAAATCTGGCCCGTTTCTTGTCGTTTAATCCAAAACGATATCAAGTCCAGAATTTTCCTGCACAGTGAGTCGTGCGTGGGTTTCAACTGACTCTGGTCAAGGCGCGGTGTGAAGTGACGAGCGTCGGCATCCTGATGTCGTTGTTCCGTTGTGAATGAGGATGCGCTTCCATTGTTTGTCTTAGGATAAGATCCCAATAATCTCGGTTAGTCATGGGGCGAAATGTTCATGACGTAATCCGAACAGGAGTGAAACAATGAGTGTGCATGCGTTAAACAGATTATGTGAGTGCATGAAGGTAAACATTGATGAGATAGTAACCGAACAGTGAAAGCGGTTGAAGATAAACGCTGACGGGATGGTAACCAACAAGTCTATCCAGCGAGCCCAAATTGACTCATGAGAGTACCCGCATGCACGGGCAGGTTTTCTTCGTTGGCAGCACCTAGTTGCTATCAGCAAACGAACCTAGACCATCCAGGTACGTTTGTGACCTCTCTCAGAAGCAGTAAACTCCTTGCAGCTTTCCATCACCCCAGTGGGGATATCTTCCTTTTTGAGAATACGAATAATGAGAATTCATGGTGAACAAATTACGAGCTAGACTACTCAAAACTTTCTGCGTGACATGAGTTAGTTTTTCACTGTAAAGGTTCACAACCTAAATGACTGATGGTTAGACTATGAGTGTATATATTTCCTGATATGAATTCACGTTGGAACACCACCGAAGATGTACCGTGTATAACAATGTTGCCTGTACGCGAATACTGTACTTGGCGGCAGTAGTTTTTAATGCCACAACCGGTGTGCACTTGTCCAAAATAGCATGCGCTCTAATTGTAGGAAAGTGAACCCACATCCCCGTCAAATGGTCAGACGTAGTACGTTTTAGGACTGCCAAACACAAAGACACACACACGCGCACGCGCACACACACAGCCATTAGGTACCACAAGCATTTGTTCCAATCTATTCGGCTGTCAACACCCGCACTACTCCAATACAACAAACAGTCCCGAGTATCACGGATTCTACGGTCTGTCAGTCCGAAAACGGCCCGGGAGAAGTTTCACGCCTGTAGACACATTACGGTTGTCTGCACTGCGAAAGATTTACAACGTGACCCATGAGGTGTGGCATACTGCATCGGATCAACCTCGGTGCGTAGTTCATGCTCCGAAGTTGTGTTTGCGACATAGTTGACGGGACATTTGTCATCTGGATGAATAAGGTTCCGGGGAGACGATAGAAGAATCGACTAAGTGGAAGTTGGCGAGATTCACAACTGTTGCGTCATTGCAAATGAGCTTTCGTTGAAAAAACACTGACTAAATCTGACTAGAAAGCACAAAAATCACTTCGACTGGCTGCTTGTGATTTGCTTACCGGCAAACCGAAGCATTTCCGTGGTGGGAAAAATTCGGTTTGTTGATCTGCCGAAAATGAAGGTTGTCTCAGTGCCATTTTCTTTTCAACAGGTACTTGTTGTCAAGCCTTAAGTTGGACCAGTGCTGATATTTTTGAATCAAATACGCCGTTCAGTTGAAAGAATCGACAATTTAACAAAGGTTCGTTCTTTGTAAGGTAGCTTCATGTTGTACTTAGCCAACTTCATTTTGATTCCAGCGGATTGAGTATCCTATCCTTGAATAGGTAACTTGTTGTTGGCAACTTCGTAACCAAATCTATCTTTCTTAGCCCTCGTACAGTCTGGCAAACTAAAGAAACACTGGATTTGTGCATCCGGAATGAATTAAAGAAAAATCAATAAGAATTAGTAAATGGATTGGCCAGCATTAGCCCTAAAGCAACTGTTATTTCTACTGGGACCCATCAAGTGACCGTGAACTGAATGACTTCTTTCTATTCATCGCTGTTTGGCAACAGTTTGGTCTATATGAATGCCTTGTTTACTGATTCACAAACTCTTATCAGCGTCATCCTCATGTTTATATCCGTCTGTCACCAACATCCCTAAAACCGAAATCTAATATAAACCATGTGTTGCAGTGGTTCGAAAGAGATAATTTATCATCTGGTTCGAAGGCAGTAGTTTATCGCAATTATGTCACCTGCCTGCGTGACATGAAGCTGGTGAGGAAATTTGACGGGGATACCAGCGAATAAAGTCGTTGGGGAATAATTTATTGTAGCACGTAAATCCTACCGTACACAGTGTTAGAATGGCTCACAATATCCAAACAGCTACCCACTCGTTCGCTGACTGCAGAACCATGAAGATGAATGTATCTTCTGACTTGAAACCTGTCCTCAATTCAGAAACTTTATAAATGCCAGAGAGTCAAGAACGGAACACTGTTTGGGCGCTTGATAGATGCAGATACAGGGACAGAGGCAAAGTGTGCGAGAGCATTCTGTGTTCCAAAACACTTGCTCGTGAATGATTCAACCGCGATATGGGGTCAAATCAGAGAAGGGCCGTATTGCTACCAGCCAAATGAGCGATGCTAATTAAAACATAGACATCCAGGATCTGGAACACAGACCAGTTCATGGAGAAGTTATATATTTCGTGAACGGGGGAGAAAATGATCAGAAGCTACAATTCGCAACAGCAGAGAACCGGAATACTACCGCAGTGGGGACAACTCGAACACAAGTTAACCGTCAGTGACATTTGGTCTGTTCGCTGAACTTAGCAGTTGATTTCAAACCTTTCATCATTGAATGAATTAACATCATCAGTGCTAGGTTGAGGGCGGCGAACTCTCAGTCTTCAGCCCGTGCTTATATGGCTTCTAAACAGCATCTAATAGCTCTAACGTGATTGGTTGGCCGCAAGTAGGCTTTCGCGTTATTTTATTGGTCTTTTTGGAATTGAAGTTGCTCTGGTCTCACAACTGGTCATTAGAGTTTTTTCTACACACTTAATTTACTATGTCGAGGCTTGGTGATGGAAGTTGTATATTCTTATTTTGAACACTGGATAGAAATCCATTGCCATCCCACCACCATTTGAGTGAGAATACGCATTTCACTTGTCTGTTTGTTCAAAAATTAGATGCGGTAGATGGTATTGTCAGAACAAAAGTTTGGTACATACCAAAAATAGAGGAACATTTGGCCACCAAAATAAGGAAAATATCAATCAGCTGTAACACCCTTTTGGCGCTTAACTGCCATGCCACCAGAAGGAAACAGGAGGATTGGGAGACTGCTAGGTTGCCCAAGCATAGATAGTCGAGAGGCGGAGTTCGGGTTCGAACCACGGACCCTCCGGTCAGTAAATTCGCACTCTAACCACTTGGGCCATCTTGTCCCCATTCATCGTCACCATATATTGTCAAAAAGATGGAGCTGAGAAGGCCTGTTCTGTCATTCAAACGACAACCAATATTTTTGTCTGCAAGACTAAACAACCTGTTTTTTAGTGAATATACACTCAACTGCAAACTAATTTGGTTTTTTTCGAGAAACTCACCCGATGCAGTACATTCATTGCCTTAGAACATCAAAAACGACAGATTCAGTTGGGTTCCAGGTAAGTCTCTCGAAAGAACCAAATTAGTTTGCAAATGAGTGTATATTCGCTAATTTCGTGCAATTTGGTTTCAAGTAAAACATAAGGTTGACGGAAACCCGGGGACTGGGCCTACCTGATGAGCGTCAAAAAGGTCGAAACCGGTTGTGGGCTGTCGATGGAATTTTCAGCAACCTTATGAGTAGTACATTAAAAAGATAAACAAATATTGCGAAAGTTATCTTTTCAGAAATGTTAGCTGGGTGACACCGAGGATGACAACCCTCGGAATTGTTTGACTCTGCTCACACGCCACTTAACTTCGCTGCAGATAGAGAGGCCGGTAAAATGTTTTAGCTTCTGGACGTCTGTCGAGGAGAAGATGAAATCGATCGATTAAAGGGAGTAAGTATATACCGGAAACCGGGCCAGTACACCAATCTCCTCACCTTTATG